TACACTCACTCACTCTCCTTCAATCCCACACACAAACACAAGCACGTGCAATTACCTTTCCTTCTGGAAATCCTTCTCTTCCCAGAGATCGTTCCATCCCGATTACTGCTGACCAGCTGCAATTCTCTGAGATTACTGACCCAATAACTTAACAATCAACACTATAAACACTATCGAAATAGCAGCTTTTTCTTATACTCAAAAATATACAATATCAATATATTCCAACACATGTTTTCATAGAAAATATTACTACGATAAAAGCAGTATTTATTAGAAAGTTTTCCACTTAAGCATTAAGTTTAATTATTCTAGTAAATCATCGCTAATCTATTGGTATACTATTCAGTTTAACTTTGATCCGTTTATTTTTTTTTAGTTCAAATGAAAATTGTAATACATTAACTATTATTACTTGATAAAGCTGAGTACACACTTTGTGTGGAATGAAATAAAATATTTGTCAACAACTTTATTTTTTTTTAGTGATTATACTTCAATCAACTTTAATATAATAGTTAGTACACCAATTAATGTTTCATTTCTTTTAACAATATTTATTGGTCCATTTAGGACCATAGGGTAATGTTTCATATTACGAATAGTATGGAAGCAATATTACAAAATTTTGGATATAAACTAATTTAATCAGAACTTACCATTTAGGAATGATTTAGTGATCATTTTACTAAGGTCTACAGGTTCATTACTTAAAGTTTGTAAATGATACTCATAAACACTCCAAGACTATTACTTACTCAATGATGGACTAACCAAGACTAACAAAGTCTTACTTGGTCTGAACGTTTCATTTAAACTGAAATGAAGGGAAACGAGTGGGAGTTAACAAAAAAAAAATTACAGTTTCGTAAAAATGCGTAATCCTAATGTACATCCTAATATGGGTATGTATGAGCGGTCGTCACTTGTTATTTTTTACATGTCCTTCGCATAACGAATGCAAAGGTTCTATCTATACCTTCGTAATTTTTTTCTTCAGTTTTTTTTTGTGTCGGTTACGTGACATGTGCATATTACAGTTACAAAACAAATAGGTCAAAGCGCATAATTGTACAACAACAGAAAAAAAAAATGTGTACACGTAAACAGAAAATAGAGGTTACAACTATAAACGTGATTGCATCAGGAAAGAAAAATAAAAAGCTCATCACGTAGCACAACAAACAATTTAGAGAAAATTCGTAGGAACCGTTTAGGACGTGTTGACGCTTCTTCTACTTTTTCGTTGTATATATTCTCAAATTACGTGATGACAGTAAGTGGGTCATAATTGCAGTGTCGATTGTTTTTACAAAATTTCAAATTTAGGGAATACATACAGATGGCACCACATGAGTTTACATTATGGTTGTCTTGATTACTACTATATACCAGCTTTTCTCAATGGGTCCCAAAAATAACTGTTATCACCTTGTGTCAAAGCGAGCAATTGGTGAAATACTCTTAGTAATTGGATTGCAAAATGACAGCTGTCACATTGTGTCAAAGCGTGAAACAAAGAAATATGTTGGGTTGAGAAACGCTATGTCTACATGAAAATATAGAATGCAGTGTCGATTATTCTTACAAAATTTCTAATTTGAGAAACACATGCAGATGGCACCACATGAGTTTACATTATTGTTGTCTTGATTACTACTATATACCAGCTTTTCTTAATGGGTCCCAAAAATGACTGTTACCACCTTGTGTCAAAGCGAGGAATTGGTGAAATACTCTTAGCAATTGGATCGCAAAATGACAGCTGTCACATTGTGTCAAAGGGAGGAACAAAGAAATACGTTGGGTTGATATAGGTTGAGAACCGCTGTGTCTACATGAAAATATAGAATGCAGTGTCGATTGTTCTTACAAAATTTCTAATTTGAGGAATACATGCAGATGACACCACATGAGTTTATATTATTGTTGTCTTGACTACTACTATATACCAGCTTTTCTCAATGGGTCCCAAAAATAACTGTTATAACCTTGTGTCAAAGCGAGGAATTGGTGAAATACTCTTAGCAATTGGATCACAAAATGACAGCTGTCACGTTGTGTCAAAGCGAGGAACAAACAAATATGTTGGGTTTAGAGATGTTGAGAAACGCTGTGTCTACATGAAAATATAGAATACAGTGTCGATTGTTTTTACAAAATTTCTAATTTGAGGAATACATATAGATGGCACCACATGAGTTTACATTCTTGTTGCCTTTACTAATACTATATGACAGCTTTTCTCAATGGGTCACAAAAATGACTGTCATCACCTTGTGTCAAAGCGAGGAATTGGTGAAATACTCTTAGCAATTGGATAACAAAATGACAGCTGTCACATTGTGTCAAAGCGAGGAACAATGAAATACGTTGGGTTGATAGAGGTTGAGAAACGCTGTGTCTACATGAAAATATAGAATGCAGTGTCGATTGTTTTTTACAAAATTTTAAATTTGAGGAATACATGCAGATGGCACCACATGAGTTTACGTTATTGTTGTCTTGATTACTACTATATACAAGCTTTTCTCAATGGGTCCCAAAAATGACTGTTATCACCTTGTGTCAAAGCGAGGAATTGGTGAAATACTCATAGTAATTGGATCACAAAATGACAGCTGTCACGTTGTGTCAAAGCGAGGAACAAACAAATATGTTTGGTTGAGAGAGGTTGAGAAACGCTGTGTCTACATGAAAATATAGAATGCAGTGTCGATTGTTTTTACAAAATTTCTAATTTGAGGAACACATGCAGATGGCACCACATGAGTTTACGTTATTGTTGTCTTAATTACTACTATATTCTCAGCTTTTCTCAATGGGTCCCAAAAATGACTGTTACCACCTTGAGCCAAAGCGAGGAATTTGTGAAATTCTCTTAGTAATTGGATCGCAAAATGACAGCTGTCACATTGTGTCAAAGCGAGGAACAAACAAATATGTTTGGTTGAGAGAGGCTGAGAAACGCTGTATCTACATGAAAATATAGAATGCAGTGTCGATTGTTTTTACAAAATTTCTAATTTGAGGAACACTTGCAGATGGCGCCACATGAGTTTACATTATTGTTGTCTTGATTACTACTATATACCAGCTTTTCTCAATGGGTCCCAAAAATGACTGTTATCACCTTGGGTTAAAGCGAGGAATTTGTGAAATACTCTTAGTAATTGGATCACAAAATGACAGCTGTCACATTGTGTCAAAGCGAGGAACAAACATATATGTTGGGTTGAGAGAGGTTGAGAAACGCTGAGTTTACATTATTGTTGTCTTGACTATACTATATACAAACTTTTATTAGTGGGTCCCAAAAAATGACAGCTGTCACCTTGTCTCAAAGCGAGGAATTGGTAAAATACTCTTAGCAATTTTATCGCAAAATGACAGCTGTCACATTGTGTTAAAGCGATGGCACCACATGAGTTTACATTATTGTTGTCTTGATTACTACTATATACAAGCTTTTCTCAATGGGTCCCAAAAATGACTGTTATCACCTTGGGTTAAAGCGAGGAATTTGTGAAATACTCTTAGTAATTGGATCACAAAATGACAGCTGTCACATGGTGTTAAAGCGAGGAACAAGCAAATATGTTGGAAAGGTTGAGAAACGATGTGTCTACATGAAAACATAGAAGTTATCACTAAATATAGATTAATCTTAATATTTATGCATTAGCCGCGGACTTTAAAATATCTAGGCAATTTACGAAGAATTTACATTGAGTATACAATTCCTATCATTCCTTAGAGTACCTGTTAAGATGTTTGCCGATCTCTGATGTAAACTTGTAACTAATTTCTGTATAACTAGTTCGCACTAATCTTAATGCGCTTTGAAGTCTCGCGATTTGTTTGGCCAATTTACAGCGTTTATTGTTTTGGCACGGAATCGATGTGCAGATCTAAATGGTTGCGAATGTCGCAGAGCGCCATCTACGAACCCGAGCGTAGGCTTCGAACGGTCATTTTACCCGTTCGATTTCCGTTCGTAATCCGAAAGGATTCGTTTAAGTATGATGTTCGAGATGTAGTTTTTTTTTATTTGTTGGTTTGCAGTTGTTGGTTGCTCTTGTATTTTTACGATTATGAGCGTGCGAGTAAAGTAAACAGAGCTAGGTAATATTTTACTTCTTTGCATTATCCGTTTGCATGCGGCGTTCGCATCGTTAATGCTCTTTCCAGAAACGTTATTTAAATAAATTTGTGGAAGCACCGAGCCAAACGGTCGTACCTACTACATATAAAATATATATATATACACATAGATGAAAGTAAAATAATGTCGTTATTTGATGCCGGTTTTCTGTTTTTTTTTCTCTTCGATCCGGATGGAAATATCAATTAGTAATTTTGAAGTGGTGGCGAGTTCATTAAAGGGTGGTTGTTAAATTATGGACACGAATATGCGGTAGGCTGTACGTAATGAGCCGACTCTGGCGGCGCAATTAAATCGGACGTTTCGTGACTAATTTCAGTCGGTTAAACACAGGGAAGGGTTGTAAAATGGATCGACGAAGAAACACAAACGTATAACTATATCTTACGAGGTATAAAAGCCAGTTCAATTAAATGGGAACATTTTTACGATCATTTCGTGAACGAACGCCGGGAAAAAGTAGTAAGACACATAATAATAATGATAATGGCAACTTTCTCTCGTCGCGAGACTCAAACAGCTACAACTTAAAAAAAAATCAACAACAACAACAAAACAACGAGCGAACCGTAATGATTATATCAGTATATTTGTTACTTGATCTTCCACGTAAAACGCCGGTGTTTATGCTTCACTTAACTATTTCTTTTTTTTTCTCAACTAAACTATTGTCATTAAGGATAATGAAGATCTTTTCATCATTACTGACATCTATCTTATTAAAGAAACAACATGTTTCATCTCTATTTTTAGTTAATTATTTAATATTATTATTTTTTAATTTAGATGTATTTGTAATTAAATAATTTATGTTTTCTTTTTCTGCACGTTTCAGGTACTTATCAAAACCAATCCTCGGTAGGGAAACAGAATCGGAAACCGAACCATGCCGGCTTCAAAATATGTTGTACTCGCTCAGGTAAATTATTCATTCAATTCTCACAAATATTCTTCAACAATCTATACTTTAGGTAAATTAAATCGTACTTTTTTTCTATCTATTTCAATTATAATAACATGTGAAAGAAAAATTTACACAAGTACTTTAAATAAATAAAAAAATTAATATTGATTAATATAATTTCATCAAAAATTACATTTTATTTTTTTTTTCAAATGTTGTAATTTTTTAGATGTTTTTGATTATAATCACTTTATTGAACTAAATTATAATGAAATCTTAGAAAATGGTGTGATTTTCAAGTGGTTAGATTTAATCATGTCGATTATAATCATGAGATAATTTTTCTACTTGAAAATATTTTCACGATCTTGTATAAGTATACAATTTTAATAAATCAAATTATCCAAAATTTGTAAAATTAACATTATTTTCATTACTTAACCATAAACTCAAGTAATTTTCCAAGATATACGTAAATCTATAATAGTTCACGAAGTACTAGTGTAATAATTTCCAATTATTTTATTTTATGTAGAATAAAATTTAATAATATTTTTTTTTCAAATTATGCAAATAGTATTGAAGAAGTGTGTAGGAATCTTTATTTTCTTCATTTTTTTTTATTATAATCAAATTTAATGAGCATATTTTATTGGAAAAGTAAAAATATTTATTAACGTTTTGATTATATAAACCATTTTGAACAAGTACTTAAGACTTTTGATTTAACTTAAAGATCTTTAAAAACTGTTTAATGAATGATAAACAATTAAAGAAATATGAAGTAATTCAATATAGTGATTGTTATTGAAGAAGTATGTACGTTCCTTTACTTACATTTTTCTTTGTTATTAATTATTTCATTGAGTTTAATTTGATTGAAAATGAATTTAAAAGTTTTTATTAATGTACATTAGAAGAGAATTGTGTATAATAGTTTGTAAGGCAATGGATTGAAAAAAGCGAGCGCAGTGTGGACGTGGGGTGTCTGTATACAAATAATATTGAAGAAGTGTGTACGAACCTTTATATTATTCTTTGTTCTTATTATAATTACATTTATTGAGCATAATTTATTTAAGTAAACTTAAATAACATTTAAGTGAAGATAAACAATTAAAGTAATTAAATATAGTGATTGATTGAAAATGAATTTACAAGTTTTTATTAATGTGCGTTAGAAGAGAATTTCGTATAATAGGATTTAAAAAAGGCGAGCGCAGAGTGCACGTCGGGTGTCTATACAAATAACATTGAAGAAGAGTGTACGAACCTTTATATTATTCTTAGTAGTAGAAAAGTAAAGATATTTAAAAACCTTTTTTGTATTAATCCAATTTGTACAAGTATTTAAAGACGTTGGTACAACTTAAAAATCTTAAGAAACTATTTTATGACTTAAATAACATTTAAGTGAAGATAAACAATTAAAGTAATTCAATATAGTGATTGTGTAATTTTCTTTAATTACATTTTCCTTTGTTATTAATTGTTTCATTGAGATAATTTGATTGGAAATGAATGTAAAAGTATTTTGTGTAATAGTTTGTAAGGCAATGGATTTGAAGAAGGCGAGCACAGATCGTACGTCGGTTGCCGGTAAACAATGTTGATTAACTCTTTTAAATGCAATTTGTGTATGTGTGTGGATCGAGTTGGAGGTCGCGAGTTTGGGGGCTTCCTGCGTAATGCGTTGGCCTTGAGGAGAGCGAATATCATTCCGTAAAGGTTAGAGTAACCTTTTTTCTCGCAAACTTTCCTTCGTCTCTCTCTCTCTCTTGCATACTAATCTTTTTCTTTCATTGTTACAATTCGTCCTTTTGTTGCTCGATCAGCGGAGCTTCTGTGTGCAGCTTTGATTATTTCATCTTTTATATTTTTTTTATTTCATTTTTCCGGTTTGTCTGTTGCACACGAAAAGGAGGTCGCTTCCGCCGGGTTGGACGGCAATTAGCGCGCGCACGCTCGATCCAGTTTTGGTCGTCGAAGAGTGAAAATGCACTCTCGCGTGCGGATTTCTCGATAGAAAGGAGATTTTCTCGGGGAGATGAAAACAAATCATCGGATGCGAGTAGGAAAATGCATTCAATGATGTTGTTGATGATGGCTGTGCGTGCGAATGGTGTCAGTGGAACGAGAGAGTTCCAACGGCTGAAAGTTTTTCGGTCCGGGTTCCCCGACGATCTTATTTACTTCCTCCTCCTCCTCCTCTTGGTGTGGACCGACGACGACGGCACGAATCTTCGGAGGCGGTGACCGTTGCTGTGACAACGCATGCAGCGGCGGCCGTTCGCTTCTCTTTCGCGAGAGTGCAATTTCCTGTTATTTCAAATATGCAGGGTGAGCGATCCTTTAATGACGGAGACACGTAGTTTTCTCCTGCCCTCTTCTCCGCTTCTTTTTCTCCTCCTCCTCTTCTTCTTCTCCTCTTCATCGTCTTCTTTACTTCTTATTTTTGTATTTTTTTTTTTATTATTTATTCGTTCGCATGACCTATCCCAACGCATTTGCAATTCACCGTACGCAACTCTCAGAGCCGGGGGTTCAAGAACCGATCGTTTCCCATTGTCATTTCAACCACTCTCTCTCGTCTTATTCTCCTTCTCCTTCATTCTCTCTCTGTCTTTCTTCGCGCGCCACATATTCGCACCAGGCACAGGCAAATATATGGAAGAGATATAGGCATAGATAGGCATAGCGCGAACGCTCGTCACACAGAGGAGGAGGCATATTTCCACCTAGCCCCGGCACACTCGCAGAATCGTAATCAGGATGAGGCGCAGACTTTATCTCTTCTTCCCCCTTTGTGTCTCTTCCCTAGCCATTCCGCCACGCCAGCTCAGAAGGATTTCCCGAAAGGATAGGAAATTCTCTTGTCATCTCTCTCCTAGTCATGTTCAGAGCTGTTGGTTGGGAGTCAGCGACGGTCTACGTACGAGAAGAGGGTGCAACAACCTCCGTCCGCACCGCTCGCAAATCACTCCCGACAGTCGCTGCTGCTGCTGCCGCCACCGCCGCTTCCACAGCCTCCTCGCGGCCGCTCCAGCATTAGATTCAATTTGAATGCAAATTTGCGCGAGCCATCAAAACCTACCCACACACGCACACGATCCTCTCTCGCACAATGCCAATCTCTTCAGCAGCAGCAAGCAACAACGGCCGCTGTTGCTGCGACTTCCTAAAATCAACATTCTTTCTACCTCCGCTCTAATCTCAAAAATAAATCATTTCTCGATCCATAAATCAACTTTACCCATTTGCAACTGCGACTCTCTTTCCACTCTCATCATCATCCGCGACTCCTCTTTCTTCCTCGCTCCATCCGCTTCACGACATTCCTTGAATTCGTAGCCATGATTCTAAACCACATACTAATAAAATTTTACTACCAAAAAAAAAGTCGATTTTATTAGAAACCATTTCAATATTATTATCATACAAAGACTACACCTAACAAAAACGAAATTTTTTTTAACTTTTATAAATTATTAACCAAATGTTTTCAATATTAGATTTATTAAATCCAATTCTTTTTAAGTACGATAATTTTGCACATGTACGAATTTTTTGATTATTTAATCATTTGGAATTAGTAAATTCACAACACAATTTTTGATGAAGACAAATAACTAAATAACAAAACCGAAAACGACGAAGCGACAATTTCGGCTGACCTTAATCCACATCTTTAAAACGGTGCGTCTCAATTTCGGTGGATGAAATTACGCTTTTGGCTTTGATCATTAATTTCAATGTAACCCTAGGCACGCACAACAAATAAAATTATTATATTATTTTTTTTTAACAACACAAATTACGAGCAATCTACTTCAACGCAGGACCATTTGTATCTGTCGCTCACGACAAGTTACGTAATTGTTTGAGAAGCCTTCCTGGATCCGCTCGTTCAAAGCCATCATCATAATCATCAACAACAATAATAACAACAACAACAACAAAAAAATGAGATTTTCTTTTTCTTTCTCTTCTTCAAAATGCGTTAGGTAATTAAATAATGAATGAATAACTTCGTTAGGAAAGTATTCAACATGAGTATTTGAATTAGTAATTAAATAGTAATAAAGCACAGACAAACGTTTTCGTTGGAAATACGTGCTCTATTTAATTTGTTCTTCTTCAAAGGCGAACAAAAGTGGAGCGCTTGGAAAGTTATTTAGGTAAGAGATGAATGGGTTAGCAGAAGAAAGGGTGAATGAGGTAAAAGGATGGGTGAGGTGAAAGCAATTAGAAGGGAACGTTGAGCGTGTAATCAGGACGAGGTTTCTTCAAGACGCATTTATTTTCTACTTAAAACAATTTTCTCCAATCTCTCACACACACAGTTTTTTTTTTAATTTTGTTCATCTTTAATTAATACTGAATTGCTGTTTTATTAAAATATCAATATTTATGAAACTAAACAATGATTCTATTATTAAAATGAAAAAAAAAAGGACTTCATTCAAAGTTGCGTTTATTGCATATACTATAAAATCTTAAATTGATAAAAATAAAATAAAGTATAGATTGTAGCGAGAATTCGTTTGTTATTGTACAATCAGCAGAAGGTTATCATCCGGCTCGGTGTAATAATAAGATCCGTTTCGTAACAATGAAGACGATTATGATTTTTTTTTTCTTACCCATCACAATGCACATTATTATTCGTTATTTTTATTCTTGCATACGTATATTTAGTATACGATTTTATTAATGAAACATTGTAGAAAAAAAAAATCAAAATTATTATTTTCCTTATTTTTTTTCTTTCTTAGTAAACGACTAATTATAGTGACTTATAATTGACACTGACAGATTATAGAAGTGACATTGACACATGTGTCAAAACCACCTGTTTTCAATTAATTTTGTATGATTATAAGGGTTGTTATGCAGCTATGAAAGTAAATAAAAACATGTGCATTCAACAGATTTTTTTTCACTTCTTTTTATTTATTTTTTTTAAGTAAGAACTGCAGTCCTTATAGACTAGTCGACACTGTTTATTTACATGA